AGGAGGAGGAGGAGGGAGAGACCCATCAACAGCCTTCAACTAGATTGACTCAACTGTCAACCCAGTGAACTATAGTAATGATCAGCATGGCATGATAAACTCATGGATGTAATAGTGGCATGCACGTTATGGGGGAAACCAAGCACTTTTGCATTTAAAGCCTGCCCTACAGGAGGATATCAATGCCCAGTACTATAAATATGACCAAGAACCCATGGTCAGGAAACTCACATGCCTCAGGGTTGAGCCTACTTTGCTAAATGGATATAATATCAAAATGCCCTCTAAATACTTATCATTATGCCCATGGGTCAGTTAGGCTCTCAGATATCATCAGAGAAGCCTCTTTTACAATGGTTACAGGTTAAATAGACTCACAATAAACCAGTATGGGACATCTGTATTATACCCAATCTCCTAAAGCTCAAGAGATCACTGAGGAGAAGGAAGAGGAGGAGGGGAGGAGGAAACAGAGAAGGAGGAGGAGAAGGAAGAAGAAATATTTTAAGAACCTAAACTTGTGGAATACTGAGAAACAGTGTTTTCTAGACGTGACAGGTCCATTGCACACATGAACATACAACCTCTGTGGCTGCTGCACAAGACCAAGACAATATAGCAAGACCTTCACAAGCGAGGGATGGGCTCACAGGTCCTATTCATAGCTGAGGAGCTGTTTTCCTCAGAGAAGTGGGTCCATGCTCCAGTGAACGGCCCTACACACATGTACACAGTGAGAGCACTAACCGGACTCAGTGAGATAAAAACCAAGCAAACAAACAAGAAGGGCAAATGAAGTCAGCAGGTCCTTGGGGTTCTGAGAGGAGCTGGGGGGGATGATGAGGTGAATGTGTGGATCACAGTCTCAAAGAATAAATTAAAATCTTATTTTTGAAAACAATGTTTTCTAAATGTAAAAGGCAGAAAAGATGCAAAGAAGAGAAGGGGGATGGAGGAAAGGAGAGGGGAAAGAGAAGGGCTGGAGAGGGAGGGAGGAAGAAGGTCATAAACACCTATTCTCTGACAGCCTCTGCCATTAGACTAGAGTGACTCATTCTCAAGAGCACTATGCCCTTTGCCTTTGCACTGCCACGTGTGTGTATAGAAACGTGTCCCTCGGGGCAGATAACAGACAACCTAGAAACCTATCCTGAAATACTATACTTTTCCCATGACTGTTTCCTCTTTCAAACCTTCCTCTAACTTTTAGGTCAATATGTAAGTTGTATCAGGTTAAAAAAAAAAAAAAATATATATATATATATATATATATGCAGGGGAAAGTAGAGGCCCTAATTGTGCTTCCTTGCAATCAGAGTCAAAGTAGACTCTGAAACTGAGCTTCCTGGAGTCACCAGACCGGGGGAGGGCAACTCACAGATAGCAGCAAGTGGACTTTCTATCTGACGACATGTCACACTACACCCGGTAAAATGACTTTGAGAGCTGCTGACATGCGCTGAACCTGTGGACTGTAACGAGTAGCATGCACTGTGCAATGTAGTTTGCATGCAAAAATCCTCAAAACCATGTATCAGAGATGCAACTATGAATGATAAAGCGAAGACACACAGAGGTTACATTAGCCACACATCAGTTAAGCAAAGTGTCACTGGGTGATTTTCGCCACTGTGCAAACAAACCTGAGTGGAAGTGCCTAACGCACACTCGGGCTGCCAGGTACATACAACTTGCTGTTCCTCGAACCCTGGTGAGCAAAAGAACACGCGGAGACATCAAGCAAAGAGAAGAGAGTGCAACTAAAGAGATGCAGTGAAGTAGCTCCGTCAAGCAGCGACTGCTTTGAACACCACGGTGAGTCACAACAGACTTCTCTTAGGACAAAACTCTGAACTAGTGATCGGTGCTGTGGGAAACACCTGACCTACTGCGGTCACCGCATCCCTACCCAGAGCTCCGCGCTGGCAGCGGGCAGACCTGTGAACCCCAGTGGCACCCCAGGCATGTGAGTGATATGTTCTGGGGTGATTACATTCAGATGCTGGAGTGTCACTCAGCCCCTGGAATTTTCCAGCTTCGTTATAACCTGCAGACCACACCATACGTGGGTGTAACAGGTCCACATAGCACAAGATTAGAACTTGTTTGGCCAACAGCCCCCTAACATGCCTGGCAAACATGCCCTGGACCCGGAGTCTCTACTCCTGGGATGCCAGGCCTCTGCTGGGCTCATGATGTTATTCCCAGAAGTGACAACACATCAGAAAGATCCCAGATCATTCAGACCAACACCAAGGACCACATTTGTTCTCAAAACCACTGCTTCCATCTTTGCATTTCTTTTCTAAAATCCTGAGACGGCAGGGAGGGTGTTTACAGTAATGACCTGTGCTGGGTCTTCTTTCTTTTCCTTATGGACTGACAAGATTACTTCCTCGTGTTTCAAGTGAGGAATTACAGCTAAGGAATGTCACCAACACACCAGGCTATTCTGCTCCTGAGGCAAAAGCTACCTTGGGGTTTTCTGCATTTTCCTTTCTTTCTTTTCTTTTTTGTTTCCTTAGATATTTTTAAAAACTTAACATCATTTTTGACAGTTCCATATATTTATACAATACATTATGATCATATGAATTCTCTGTACTCCCTCTTATCCTTCTCTCATTCATGTTCATACCATTCTCTCCAACTAACTTTCATGAGTTGGGGAGGGGCAGTGGGTATTGCCGTTTTTCAATCACTCAACCAGATGAGCATGGTGGGAGGCTAGTTACTTGAACGTGGGCAAAAGCTACCTGACTAAAGAAGATGGCATACCCGCCCCACCCCCTGGTAACCACTGGCTGCCAACAGCTCCTCAGGAAAAGGTGGGACGTCATGAGTGCCCCACAAATTCATGACAGAATGTTGAGGGTGTAATTTGTATTGGTCACGTGCGTGTTTCCACAGCTCCTGTGTGTTCATGGTCACACTGGTGACGGCAAGGGCAGAAGACAGTTTCACAGCCCTCTTCCCCATCCTCTGGCTCTTACAACGTCTCCACCTCCTCCCCTGCACTATTTGCTGAACCTAGGAAGGGGTGATGTCCCGTTTCAGGCTGAGCACTCAACAGCACTTGTTCTCAGGACTCCGCCCAGTTATGAGCCTCTGCACTATCAACCCCTGTAAAAAGAAGATTTCTGATCAGGGCTTTCCTGGGCCTGGCTCTGACTTTTTCTTTCTCAGTGTATTTTAATAACACCAACACAAGCTGTGTTTCTTGAGCTGTTTATATAGCAGGCCTGCCAATTTATGGCAGCACCAGTCTAGGAATGGAAATATAAATTTATATTTGTTATATATATATATTTATATTAAAATACTAAAAGTATTTTAGCTATATGGTCATTTAGCAAAAACAATAATAGTAGATTATGCCACAGAGTGACCTTGCCAGGAACAGGCTTTTAACCAGGTTTTTACAGTAGCAGCCATGAAATCCCTTGCAGGCTGGGCTTCAAATCCAATCAAAAAGCTATTGGTTCTCCCAGTAACAGGCATGTCACTATGCACAAGAGGGTATATCTTGCCTGGCATTGGCAGGACAATATACAGGATCCACAGCTACAAAGACCCCTCTTGGATTTCTGAGGCAGAGTTTTTACTCTGCAGCCCAGGCTGGCCTGGAGCTCTATCTCCCAGGCTAGCTTTGAACTCATGACAATCCCCTCCCCCTGGCCTTAGTCTTCCAGAGTGCTGCATACAAACAAGTATATGCCACTGTACCCACTGGTCCTCAGCACTGTGCCCCCTCCTTGCCCATCCATCATGCTTTAGAGACTTAAAGGCAGTAAGGTCAGGTCACAATGAGACCTTTGGCTCCTTGCTTTGTGCTCAAACCACAGGCATGCTCACATATTAAGCTCTGTCTTTTGTTTCTCTTTTCTCCCGAGTGAAGCTTCTCTGTAATCCCATAGCTACATCTTGGTGGTAGTTACCACAACAAACAAAATCCAGGAGTGTCACACTCAAACTCCCCACAAGAGCCTTAGCTGCTGATTTCAAAATCTTTCTTTTCTTATTGCCAGGAGAGACAGCCTTCCTCCAAGGCATGGGTTCACAATAAAGACTTACTCCTGTGCCCTTCCTCGGCTCCACCTGACATCCTGGGAAAGGAACTGGGAACTGGGGCCTCTGGCTGGTGGCAACAGCTAGTGGGATAAATAACATTGGGAATTCCAAGCCTTGAGGTGTGCTGGCTCCGTCCCAGGTGACAGTCCCTTATGGGTCACAGACTAAATAGCTCAGGCACATCATTCTTGGCATGCCTCTGACTTCCTCTTTCTCAATTTATTACAAACAAACACAGGCTGTATTTTTTGAGCTGCTTTTACAGCAGGCCTGCCAATTAAGAGTCCCTTTCTGGCATATGCATGCCTTCCCTATCAAACGCTCAGACTCTACCACTGGCCTCAGTGTGACTTCATCTTAAAGCTTTTATTAAGCATTTCCTAGAAATGAGCTCCGGTCTTTGGGACATCTCTGGAGAAGAGAATGACTTAGTTTTCTTTTAGTGTTGTGTTTTGGTCTGAGACAGGATCTCACTATATAGCTTTGACTGGCCTGGAACTTGTAACGTAGATCACGCTGGCCTCAAGCTCACAGAGGTCTGCTTCTCCGGTGCTGGGATTAAAGGCGGCACATGTCACCATTCCTAGCATGATCTAATGTTTTTTGAGACATATAGACTCTAGGTTTCTGAAGGAAACTGGAGATAAACACAAAACTCTTAAAATAAGCTGAATATAACCCCACACTAAAATGTGGGATTAACATGCACAATTTTTATATATTTTTTAAATACAGGCTAACGATTTTGTCCCTAGTTTTGTGTAAGAGCTTTGTTTTCTGGGTAGTTTTCCAGTAGAAGTTTTTTTTAAAAGATATGGAAGTCACAAAGAGATTAAACTTTCAACCAAGAAAACACAGAAGTTTAGAAATTACTTTGGAAGAGTATTTTAGGGTGCATTCAAATGACGGTTGAAATGCACTTAGCTCACCTTTGGGGAGGATGGCCTGGGGCATGGGCTCCATTGGGGCCAAATTGCGGGGGTCCAGGAGGTAAAGGGCCTGGGGGCAACAGCCCTGGAGGAGCAGCAGCTCCCAAAGGCCCGGATGGCTTCACCATGCCTGTAACAGATGGGAACAAAGTTATGGGCCCGTTAAAGTACAAAGAGAGATAACACAAAGGTGGAAGATTAACAACAAAAAGAGTAAAGAGAAAGGGAGGCCAATGGCTATGACACAAGGCTCCTCCAACCTCCCTTAACCACTCTCTCCAGGGTAGCTACCATTACTTGGTAATAATAATTGCAAAAGAATAAAAACGGTGATGGAGGTACCTTTACAGAACACAGTATCTCACAAGCACTAGACCACACAAGGAAAACCAAGAACAAATGTAAAGTGGAAATACAATAAGTAGCTCAAATCATAAAGCAGGCTCATAGATCATCAGAAATGTACACAGAACAAGCCCCTGACAGTGTCTTTGGAGAGCAGGCTGTTACTCCAGCAAATTCCTGAGACAGGTATGAGGTGTTTAACACGTCACACTCGGAGAATGTGGGAATTACACACGACGACATGCTCCTTGCAGCAACTACTTTCTCACAGTAGCTCCTCAGAGGGTGTCTCGGGGTTTCTATTGCTGTGACAAAACACCACGACTAAAAATCAAGTTGGGGAGGAAAGGGTTTATTTGGCTGATACTTCCGTATCACTGTTCGTCACTGGAGGAAGTCAGGACAGGAACTCAAACGGAACCTGGGGGCAGTGCATGCAGAGGCCAGGGATGGCTACTGCTTACCAGCTTGCTCCCCACATCCCTCCCCGACTGGGTCAGCCTGCTTTTTTACAGAACCCAGGATTACCAGCGCAGTGACAGCACCACCTCACTGATTAAGAAAATCCAGCAAATTCTACAGCTGGATTTTTTTTTAATTTAATGAATTATTTATTTCAATTTAATCACTTTGTATCCCCTCTGCAGACCCTTCCCTCATCTCCTCCCAGTCCCACTCACCCTCCTCTTCTCCCCCCTACACCTTTTCCCTAGTCCCCTGATAGGGGAGGTCCTCCCCTTCTATCTGACCCTCGCCTCTCAGGTCTCATCAAGGCTGCTACAGCTGGATCTTATGGAGGCATTTTTCTCAACTGAGGTTCCCCCTTTTAGATAACTCTAGCATGTATCAAGTTGACACGAAACTACCTACCCGGAGAGCTTTAAGGTTTCTCTCTGGAGCAGTTTTCAGCTTTTCTTTTTCCTTCTAGAGCGAAGGTGGCAGAGGAGAACCTGAGCCTTGTTGGTACTACCTACAGTTGCCCAGGACTGGGCACGAAGCTTTCTCTGAGGACCCACTTCATCTTCGTAAAATCAGAATGAAATCTACCCTATCCAGGCTGCTCACTTGACCTTTGGCCCTCCCCTCCTCCTTGTGCCCCTGTGACCTCCAAGCTGCCTGTGTGCCCCTCCATCACACCTGGTGTCAGCCTTCATAGGGAGTTCTGTTTCCTTCCTCCTGCACATGTCATGGCTGCACACACACACACACACACACACACACACACACACAAGGGAAATGATGGCATGAGCTGCAGTCACCCAGAAAGACCTTGTCAGACTGTCACTGTACCTTCTCGAAAGAGTTTTCACGTCCTTGGATAATCTAACACACGTGACAGGTGGTTATAGGCTGAAATGCCTACCAAGACCCCTCTTCAAGCAAGAGTCCTTGAACTGAAGACTGTCTGCGCTGAGGACTGAGCACAGGACCCCACATGTGAAGCAAGCCCCCAGTTAATAGCACAAGCTGTAGCCCAGCTCTTTTTTATATTTTATCATTTTAAAACATAATTTCATTAGATTGCCTAGGCTGCCTTTGAACTTGCTCTTCGGTCCACGCAGACTCTAAACTCCAGGCTCCCTGCCTTCATCTCCTAAGCAGATGGGGGTCACTGGCCCACACCACAGCCTGATGTGAGGAATGCTGTATATTAAATTTACAGTCAAAGTTCTATTTGAAAATTTCCATATAGGACAAAAAAATAAGTATTATCATTTAATTTTAACTGATAAAATATATATTAATGCCATACCACGTGATATATAGTCTGTGATATTAACAGGCTATATATACACATATATGATGTGTGTGTATTCATATGTATATATAACACACATACACACATATATAAATACTTAGCATCTTGAGGGTAAAGCAATTGAAGAGTGTTTCAGATGAAATACCACGTTTAGGGTGAAGCAACTAAAGCCTTTTTCTATAGCCATTAGAGAAACACAGCGCCTACAGGGCACCTATTTGGGCCTCCTATGCCACCCTGCACCAGAGCCCACTGCACCAGACCTCCCACTAACCAAATCTCCTATCGTCCTGCCACTCTGCCAGCTTCTAAAAACCAGTGTCCAATTCTCAACATCTGTAAGGTCAACTTTTTTAGCTTCCACATATGACTCGGATCATGTAGTACTTTTCCTTCTGTGAATTAAAAACAACAACAACAACAAAAGGAACCTTTTCTAACACTACTCTTTTAGATGCTGTTCAGCAACGGAAGGAAACCATGAGGCATGCAGCCACACCTACTGGGTTTGAACTCCTTCCCAACCACTCTGAGAAGCTACGACTGACAAGACACTTTGTCTTTCAGAGCCGTGAATTTTTTACCCTGTGTCATAGCTATAATCTCCCGACTGTCCAAGACTGCTCTGAGAATTAGTGAGGCAAGAGGTATGGGAATGCTCAAAACCATGTTCTCTTGCTCGGTCATAGGCCCCGATTTCCTTTTCAATTTACTTTTTTTTTTTAGGGCTTGTGGTTTAATAAAACATATAGACTATAATTAAGACCACACCGTGTTTTTATTTTTAAGATGTTGTTTTGGACAAAAGTAGAAACCACAGAGCTATCACCAGCATATTTTGGGGTTAATTACTGGTGCAGCAGAAGCCAAACAGCCTCACCTTTGAGTAAGCGGGTGTCTTAGTTCCTATTGCTACCAGAAACACTGTGACTAAAAGCAACTTGGGGAAGAAAGAGTTTCATTCATCTTACAACTCTCAGGTCCTACTTTATCATGGAGGGAAGTCAAGGCTGGCGCTCAAGGCAAGAACCCAGAGGCAGGAATTGAGACAGAAGCCATGAAGGAATGTTGATTACTGGCCTGTTCCCCATGGCTTGCTCGGCCTGCTTCTTATACAACTCAGGACCACCTGGCCAGGGGTAGCACCACCCACAGTGGCCAGGCCCTACCCCATCACTAATCATTATTTTTTTTTTAAATGCCCTACAGACCAATATGATGGAGGCATTTTCTCAAACGCAGTAAGAGCATTTATGGAAGACAAAACCATGTAAGAAATAGTAACCCTGTCAGGTGACAAGAGTTACACAATGCAGAGGGTCCCCTAACCCTTTCTGGAGAGAACAGCCTGAGGTGCACCTTCAGGACAGTGACTTCTTATACTATGTGATATGGAATTCTAGCCAGCAACGGAGCCTGACCATTGGTCTGAAGGAGTGTGGCCTAATCAGGGGCTGGCAAAGAGTCGGGTGGACACAGCGTGGGAGTAAAGTGACAAGAACAGAAATCGCCATCCGGATTGGTTGGATTCAAACTACAAAGTCTGGTGTGTCATTTGGACTCCATCCCCAGGGCAAAGGGAAGTCAGTATCACAGTGGCCTGCAGAGTCACGGTCTCTGAGGGGCCACTCGGATGGCACTGTCAAAAGTGACCAGACACAAAGACAACCAGGGGCTTCAGAGCCTCGGGGGAACTTAAGAGGGAAGAAAATCCACAGCAGGAGAAAGAACTATGCTTATGTGTAAAGTAACTTTTATTCACCTGATACAATTGTTGTCTCAGAGGCTGACTGCCTCCTCCTGCTAACCTAGGCCTAGTTCTGGAAGCTTCTAGCCTCCATACAATGTAACCTAGGCCTCAGATGTTTTCAGCCTCTGAGACTACTGCTTACTAAGCTTGCCCTTGCTTGTTCTTACTGAGCTCAGAGCTGGCTGGCTCCACTCAGCTGTTCTGGCTCAAACTCCTCTCCCAGCTCATTTATTCAATCTGCTCTAATCTCCTCGCAACTCATTCTCTGGCTCCTTCCATCTTCACCTCGGTTCCCTCTCTGCAACCTGTCTCTCGATTACTGTCCCAGTGAAAACTGCCTCCTCTCTCTCTATATATTGCCCTTTAACTATCTTCCCTTTCCTCTCTCGTCTCATGAGAGTTGGACATATTCTATTCTGTCAACTTTTTCTCTAATTTGTCACTGTTTCTCTCACTCAATTAAACATCACTTTCAAACATGGGTGCTTCCTTTTAGAAACTAACTTTGCCTTCACTATTTGGAATTAAAGGCATGTACCACTACGCCTGGACCTGAGCTTTTCTTTACCTAAAACTTGCTCTATACCAGGCTGGCCTTGAACTCAGATCCCTTTGCCTCTGTCTCATGGATTAAAGGGTGTGTTTGTATTCCAGATGGATCACACAGACCTAGAAGGTCCTTGGATGTGATCTCTTGCCAGAACAGCCATGTTCTGAATTAACATTCCTCTACGCTATGCCACAGGAAATTATCAAAACTCACAAGCCACCTTTAATGTGGCAGCAAGTATTATATGATTGGTTTACTGCACAAGAGTATCAGGCTCCTCCAAGCTGGCTGTCATACAGTTCTGAGGTAGATACATAGCCTCTCCATTTCCTAGGGTCCTCTACAATTTGTTTTTTTCTATGCAAAGCATACTTTTTTGAGGAACTATGGCCAGCTCTGTGGCACAGGTTGTCCTTTTAGCCTAGACGGAAGTGATTTTTCTTTGATAGAATAGTCCTGTGTGTGTGTGGGGGGGGGTGTCTTTGTAGACTGGATAAGAAGTTCCTAAATCTAGGACTCGAGCTTTCTCTGTTTGTCTCTTGACAGCCACTAACAAATCCCTTTCCATTACAAGGGATTCTGTTATCACCAAAGGGATTCTGATCAAAATGACATCACAGAAAAGTGGGCCTTAAATTGAACCACTTCTAATAAAGGAAAACAAAAATCAACGAATATTTGTGGGGAAAATCTTCATCTAAAACAAACAAAAGCTCCCTGTCATAAATGTGAATACTAATGGCCAGTGCTCCCAAAGCCCTGAGCTCATGGTATCGGAGTAACCCCATCCTGACCCCCCTTCCAGAACAGAAACACCCTGGCCTCTCTGCTTCCAGCCCCAGATGGTTTTTGCCACTCAAAGGGCACTTGGAAAGGTGAGGATATTTTGGTTTGCTAAACCTCTCAGAGGAAGAGGGAGGGTCCACTGGAATCAGGCGAACACAGACCATGGATGCTGCTAAATGCACAGAGTATCCACTTAACACACACACACACACACACACACACACACACACACACACAGGAGAGAGAGAGACAGACAGACAGAGAGATAGACAGAGAAGGAGACAGAGAAAGCATGTAAATGAGTTGGTGCCAGATGTTAAGAATGCTAAGATTTAGAAGCCCTGCCCCCAGCACAGTACACCCACCCCTCCATTCTCCTCCGCACCTTCTAATATGCACTGCAGCTCTTCCTCACTGGAGTGTGACCCTTTCCGGCGTAAGCCACTTCAGTGAACCCCTGATATGGCCCCATGACTCTGCACTTTAAGGACACCTCCCACAGCTCACATGCTGAGTGTTTACTGCACAGCAGCAAGCTACCTTCCTACCTGGCCAACTCTCACTCGCCTTTCAGGCCGTTCCTCTAAGAGGATGCTCTGACCCTGGCCCCATGTTAGAGCTGGGTATTTCGCTCCCTAGTGCTTCCCACCTTCCACTTCCTTTGTCAAGTTGCTTACTGTACTGTTTTCGACATAAGTAATATATGGACTGACATTGAGATTATTATATTTGTTGTTTTTTTTTTTAATGACAAGTGATTTGCTCACTCAATAAATCTGTTAAATTTGTTACTACATAACACAAAAACTACAAAAGTACAATCAGTGGGCGCCAGTAGAGATATAATTGGTGCAAAACTCAAAGCAAGATTCAGTGCTGGCTCTTCTGGTAGAACAGACACTTCAAAAAGCCACAGTTAGGTTGTCTGTCAGAAGATCACATACCGTGTGTGTGTGTGTGTGTGTGTGTGTGTGTGTGTGTGTGTGTAAATGTTTGTGAGTTGGTAATGGGGAAGGGAACCCAGAGCCCCATTCACACTAGGCAAGCACTCTATCACTTAACCCACTCCACCTAGTACAACAGTGTGGAAATTGGTTTAAAGTCCAGCACAGTGTCAGGAGATAAAGCATGGGAAAAGATGTATAAGTAAGCCGGGGAAACATTGGTCAGAGTTGCCTCTTCAAGTCTGAAGGAGCGTGAGATAGACAGTGTGAACACAACACAGAGGACCACCATCTTTCTGGCAGAGCAGAGTGCTAATCAGGTACTGAGTATTAAACCAGCACTCCAGTGACAGTGAGTTTGGTATCCACAGAATAATAAATAAGGGTGCGGGCGAACTGCAAAGAAGAAAACTGGTAAGATAATGAAGGCCTGAGAAACTTAATGTATAAAGTGAAGTGATGGGAAGTCATAAAAGGTCTTAAACCAAGTGATTCATGTGTTACACAAAATTTGTCCAGTTCGAGAGCTGACGCTCTGGCAAAAGCCAGTCCCAGACAGAAGCCTAAGGGTTAAGAAACTATTTGCGACCTGGATAAGAGACGGACTAAACTGATCAAAAACAGTCACGGAATGGTAGGAAGGAGGGAGATGGGAAAGATGTTTCCCATCTCCCATGACTGCTCAGTAAAAAACTGGAGACAGGTAGGTGCTACAAATATGCAGGTAAAAACCTCAGGCATATAAGACAAAAAAAAAGGCAAAAATCTAAAAATAAACTTTTGGGAAACCGACTAGATCAGACTAGGTGAAAGAGAGAGAAGATTCTTCTGTTTTGATTTTGGAGTTTTCACTTGTTTCCTTGAGACCGGGTCCCATATAGGCCAGACTGGCCTTGCACTTGCTGTCTAGCTAAGGCTGGTCTTGAACTGCTTACCTTCCTGGCTCCCTCTTTTGAGTGGCAAGCTTATAGGCATATGCTACCACAACTAGTTTGTTTTTGTTTTGTAATAATGAAAAGTTTGGGTATCGATCCTACGTAAGTGATGCTGCTATGTACTGTGGAATATCAGTAAAAAGTAGGCTTCGATGGAAGAAAACAAATTGTTCTAAGTGTGAGTATGCTATGTCTAAAAGCACACAGGTGAACGGCAGAAAACACTGGTCCAGGCTTAGGAAAGACTTCTGGGATGAAGATCTAAGAGCTATGTGTACTTCACGTGTCTTGCTGTAACAACCTCTTCAGATGATGCTGTTATGTCCAACCATGGCCTCAGTTAATGACCAGCAACTAACACCCCACGTCTCTAAGCCTGAAGGATGAGTAATCATATACAAGCGAAAGTAGCAATTTACCTGGTGGAGGAGTTACATGGGATGGGTCCCCATAGTGCCCGTAATGAGGGGGAGAAAGGCCCATTCCAGGCTGGGACTGGGAATAGGGGGGTGTCGCCACATAACCTTGTTGGCTCATTATGAAAATATCATTCCAGAGGAGAGCTGCTGCAGAAGAACCCTGCAAGAGTAAAAACAAGAAGTTAGCAAGAGGATTTTAGACACTTTACGCTACTAAAGATATGCACACAATCAAGAAACATTTAGGACAGCTGGAAGAAAAGCAAAAGTGCCCATTCGGGAAGCATCTTCATTTCATATAGCACTGAGCATCATACCATTATCCCCTGGACATAGCTTAAGATGTCTCTTTGGAATTCAGTGGCATCACTTCAGTAGTCCCAGGAAATTTCTCAGGCACAAACCTGAATAGTAATTCTGAGCCACTTTTTCCCTGGGAAGCCTGCATTGCTTCCTACAGTCTCTCATTAGCATCCCCACCGGTCTGTGTCTTCGTTTCCATGGCCGCATTTTGAGATAACACCATGCTATATTCAAGGGACTGACCACCATAACGACAAGTGGTCTGCAGAACAGATGTTTCATGACTTGGATCTTTCTGGTGCCCTTCTAATTAGTCATCTTAATCTGTCGTTAGGACAAGCAAAAGTCCAACAAATATAACCCAGGATAGATGTGATAATAGCCTTTGTGAGTCATAATTTGACAAGCCAGTGGCAGCGCCAACCATTTCGGTGGAAGATGCTAGGGCTTCTGATGTAGATGGTGTCGCGCCTCTAAGAACAGAAGCACCTATATTTAAGGAACTATGAAAAAAGTTTTCATAAGTAGGTAGTTATACACAATCACAAATATAACAGTCCCATCTTGGGTCTATTCAGAGCCCACATACCAATTAGCTTTATACTTTTATACTTTTGGGTTTTGATAAAACAAATATATCCTAGAGAGGAATTTTTTTTTTAAAGACACTTCTTTTTTTTTTTTTTTTTTGGTTGGTTGGTTGGGTTTTGTTTTCCCCTGTGTAGCCCTGGCTGTTGTGGAATTTACTCTGTAGACCAGGCTGGCCTGGAACTCAGAGATCTGTATGACTCTGTCTCCCTAGTGCTAGAATTAAAGGTGTGTGCCGCCACCACTCCTGGCTTCCAAAAATCTTTTTAACAAGACAGGGGATGCTCTCTGAATCCAGGCAAAAGAAGTAGAATTTCATTTCCTATCTGCCAATGCATAGCCTCTGTGACAGCGCAAGCTGAAGAGGCTCTCTGGGCCCCAGTTTTCTGGTTTAGAAAATGAAGTGTCCAAGGGCCGTATTAGTTGTAAAACACTTATTCCCAAGTTTCTTTCCAGTTTCTCCACCAGTTATCTGTGTACCTCTCCTTTCATTTCTCGTTGCTGCTTTTTAAGATAAAGAGTAGAAATAGATGGGATCTGTCTTTATTCTGGAAATGGCATGCAAATCAAAAATATGAAGGTTAACATTCACGATTTAGCTTTGCTTCCATATTAAACCTCAAGCTTCTGAGTAACAACCAAGGGGAAAAAAAGTAAATTATGAGGTCACTGCCTTCTTAAGGGAGGACAGAAAAGCAGACAAAGGTCTCCAGTCCACTGTGTTCCTGACAACACTTTCCCTCCTCCCACTGAGCATAGGGAGACGTGGCAGCTCGCTTGGCCCCATCCAGCCCAGCGCTCTTAGAAGCCCAAACCGGCACACCCACGCAGCAGCTGCGGGAGGGCAGCCGGGCAGCGATGCTCACCGAAAAGAACGGGAAGCAGCCCGGCCCTCTTCCCTGGTCCTGGGAGGAATTCGCTTCCTCACCCTACTCTGCCACGTCAAACTTCCTCACCCAGAACACCAAGTTGCAGAAACCTGACTCAGCCGCAAGCGGCGACATGGCAGAAAGCCACTTGGCACGAACCGGCCTCCGATCCAAACCCAGAGCGCTCGGATTCCACAAAGCCACCCTCCCCTGTCCACTGTCACCCGGGACAGTTCATCTCTCCCTCTAATGATGTCCCGAAGCTGAACGCTGTAGTTGAGATTTTTTTTTTCCTCCCTCGGAATATTTCCAACCCTCCCGTCCTCCGGGAACCAGGGAACCAAGTTTGATGGGAAGAGTCGCGGTGCAGCCGCGTGCGGACGCTCCGATCGCCAGCCGCGCCGGGAGCCCGCCAGACCTGCGGCTCCCCAACCTCCCCACCCCGGCCCCCGGCGCTGCACCCCGCATCTGCCTTACCGGCTCTGCACGCTCCGCGCCCCGCGCTCCGCGCCGCCGCGGCCAAGTCGCTCTGGGCTGCGAGTGCCACGTCAGGCGCCCGGCCGCGCGTGCGCGCGCGCTCTCCCCGCTCGCTCCCGCGGCGCGCACCGGCGGGGGCGGGGCCGCGCCTCCCGCTGCGGCCTCGCCCCTCTTTCCGGGTCTTTTCCTCGAGGCTTTTCCTCCTCGAGGCCCCGCCTCCCCCGACTTGTCAGAGATCATTGGGTGTCGTTCCGCCGGGGCCCGTGGGAGGGACGGGGTGGGGGGGGTGGTGAGGAGGGCGCGCTCTGTGTTCAACAGGTGGCACCGAACTGCCGCGCTGCGCCAGCCTCGGGAAGGGACGCGCGCGTGTCGGCGAGTGCACGGTTGCAAGAGCTTCTGGCTCGGGTGCAAGACAATTTGATGACGTCTTCCAGCGCCACAGCAGAGGAAGGAAGGCCCAAGGCAGCCTGCTTATGCTTTGAACCGGACAGACTGACTGCTCGGCTGAGATGTCCTCAAAGAAGCAAGGGTGGCAGGACCTCCGTGGGATCCCCCGCTTGACTATGAGCCACCGACGGTGCGACCCACCCACGCACAGGAACCGTTGAGGAACACCTACTTTGCTCTAAAATTAGGACCATCAGGCTAGTTTCCAACAAAGTCCCCATATCAAATAGAAAGCATGAGTTCAGCCCGCAGCTGAGTTTGGAAAAGCTATTTACATTGCATTCAGTTTTATGAAATAAAAGCAGCCCTAGTGGGTTTTGCCTGCGCTGGGTGCCTTCTTCGGAGTAACCCGAAAATAAGAGCTCCCTAAAACTTGACTAGTGAAAAGCTGTCTGAGTAACTTATCCTATTGCTGGGATAGAATACTCTTGACAACCACAGCTAACTGGAGAAAATGTTTATTTTGGTCCACAGTTCAAGGGTGGAGTCCACCTTGGCGAGGAAGTGAAGGGTGCAGCGGCTTGAGGCACCGCTGATCACTGTGCATCCAGAGTCAGGAAGCAGAGAGCAATCAGTACTTGTGCTCGGTTTGGGGGGGGTGTTGGGAGCTCTGGGTGATGCCACCTGCAGTGGGCATGTTCTCCCATCTCAATTAATCTAATCCACAGGCTTGCCAGAGGTCTTCTCACCTCCAGATGCTATTGGAATTATCAGGATTTGTTTGTTTTTGTTTTTGATTTTTCCAGACAGGGTTCCTCCGTGTTGCCCTGGCTGTCCTGAAACTCACGCTGTACACCAGGCTGGCCTCGAACTCGGAGATCCGCCTGCCTCTGTCTCCCAAGTGCCGGGATTAAAGATGTTCGCCACCACCGCGGCTGAGCGAATTATCAGGAGTTTTTAGACAACTGAATTTTTTAGTGAACTGTTTCTATCACTGAAAAAGAAACAGTTTAAAGGGTCATAATTTGTTGTCTCACAGTCTCTGAGGTTTCAGTCCTGGGTCATCTTGCTGTATTCTTTTGGACCTGTGATGAGGCAGAACATCAGGAAAGGCAGAAGGACTGACACAGTAAAGCAGCTCATCTGCCAGTGGCCAGGAAGCAAAGAGAGAAACATAGGACCCAGAGCAAGATACAGCCGCAAACCCTGACCCCAGTGACCAGCTTCATGTAACCAGTTTGTCTTCATTTTTTATTGCTAGGAGAAGGCAACTTATAGAAGAAAGATTTTATTGGGTATTTACAATTTCAGAGGATTAGAGTCCATGTCAGGGAACATGGCAGCAGGCAGGTTGATGGTACAGTAGCTGAGAGCTCACGTCTAGGTCCATGAGCACCAGTGAGACATTAGAAATGGCCCTAGTCTTTTGAAACCTCAAAGCCTGCCGCCAATGACATACCTCCTCTAACAAGGTTAGACCTTCTAATCCTTCCCACGCACTTCCACCAACTGGACACCAAGTGTTCAAATATATAAGCCTAAGAGGCCATTCTTGTTCAAACCACCACATTCCACTCCTTGGCCCCCATAGGCTCGTGGCCATATCATAACTTGAAATGCATTCAGTCCAACCTCAAAAGTCCCCATTGTCTATCACACTCTCAACACCATTTAAACGCCCAAAGTTCAAATGTCTCCTGGGACTCAAGACAATCTCTCAGTTGTAACCCCTCTACCTCCATAAAATCAAATTACATACTTCCAAAGTAAAATTGCACAGAATATCCATTACCATTCTAGAAGGGAGAAATGGGAGCATAAGTGAAAAAATACCAAAGCAAGACCGAAACCTAGAAGAAAAAACTTCATAAATTCCATAGCCCTGTATTTGATGTCAAAGGGCTTAAACGGGTCTGCCCTCCAAGCTTTGAGCTGGTTCTACTCCCTGTGTGCTGTTCTTGCTGGCAGACATTCCATGACTAGCATCTCAAGCATCCTGGGGTCTCCAGCACAATCCAGACTTCACTTCCAGAGCTTCTCGGAACAGCTTTCAGGCCCTCCATGCAGGCACTTCCTTGAGACACACCAGGCCTCGCCAGCTCTCCTTAACTTTTGAAAAGGGAAGATTCCACACTCTTTTACTCTCTATTATTCATGACTTTAAATCCAGAATCACATGGCCAATACTGCCAAGTTTGGCTGCCTGCTAGGGATGGAGCCCAGCCCCCTTCTTGAAATACATCTTAATAAATTTATCTAGTTATTTATTTTTAATATGCGTTGGTGTTTTTCCTAAATGTATGTTGGTGTGAAGTGTAGGATCTCCTGGAACAAGTGTTATAGACAGTAGTGAGCTGCCATATGGGTGCTGGGATTTGAACCCAAGTCCTTTGGGAGAACAGCCAGTGCTTTTAACCAGAAGCCTTCTTGCTTTTTAGGAACAGAAAAATCCCTCAGGCCTTTTTCTTTCACAAGGTGCTGGATTAGCTGGGTAGAGTACTTCCTTGATGGCACCGGACTCTTGATTTCATTTCAATTCAGGCATTTCGTAATCTCTTTCAACATAAAATGTGGCTCCAACATTAAACTCCCTGAGGCTCTTTTTCTTCTCTGTTTTGTATTGCTTTTTGTCCTGTTTGGTTTTTTTTTTTTTTTTTATTGTAAACATACACAGGAGTGATTACTAATAACCATAAGACAGAACCAATATTAGGCTGTCCTGAAATCTTTTCTGCAAATGAATTAGTCCATTATTTTTCCATTTTGCCTCAGGCAGATTCTTAGGATAGAGACAAAAGGCAGCCATATTCTTTGCCAAAATATCACAAGAACGGTCTCTGACCAAGTTGCTAATATTGTCCCCTTCTGAAACTTCTTGAGCTGGGCCTCCACAGTCCACATGGCTCTCAGCACTACTGTCTCCCAAGCTCCTGCTAGAATTGTCCATTAAGCCCTGCTTACAGCATTCAACCATTTTTTTCTAGTCTAAAGTCCCAGAGTCTTCCACATTCCTTCTACAAACATCAAGGCAGGACTGTCACAGCAACAGCCCATTTCCTGGTACCAGAGTCTGTCCTAGTTTCTTTTCTTTTGCTAAGAGAAGATACAATTACCAAAGCAGCTTATAGAAGAAAGAACTTATTAGGGATTTGGTGTTTCGATAATTAGAGTCCGTAACCATTATGTTGGGGAGACTGGCACCAAGCAGGCATGCATGCACTGGAATAGTGGTTGAGAGATGACATCTAGATCCATGAGAACAAGGCAGGGAGAGAGAGACTGGAAATGGCCCTAGTCCTTTGAAACCTCAAAGCCTGCTGCCAAGACCTCCTAATCCTTCCCTCACACTTCCACCAACTGGGAGCCAAGTGTTCAATATATGAGCACTATGGAGGCTGCTATCATTCAAACCTCAGAGGCCTCAAACCACAGAGGCCTCACCTTTAGATAGTTCTGTCTCATCCCAATAGAAACTCACTTGGAAGACTAGGGCAAGAGGATCTGAAGTTCGAGACCAGAGTGGACTGCAAAACAAAACCTTATCTGAAAAGGAAGGAGGATGGGGATAAAGAGGGAAAAGAAGAGAAGAATGAAGGGAGGGACAGAGAGACATGGAGAAAGGAATTAAAATCTTACTGAGGTCAGTGTCTGAATTATGATTATTAATAAGAAGGTTTTTTTTCTTTTCATTATTTTCTAAAATCTATTTCCATGATTTCCTAGAGAAAATGTTTCAGCACTATATTATTGTTCTAAATAAAAATTATTAGAAATTGGGCTTTCAGATTATACTATTGTTCCAGAGACCTCTCAGAATGTGTGTGTGAGTGTGTGCATGTGTGTATGAGGTTTGCTTGTTAATGTGATGTGTGTGTGATATATACTTGTTAGTGTGGAGTGTGTGTGTGTGTGATATCCTTGATAATGATGTGTGTGTGTGCATGAGTGTGCTGTTAATGTAGTGTGTGTGATATCCTTGTTAATGAGGAGTGTGCATGTATGTATGTGTGATATCCTTGTTAATGAGGAGTGTGCATGTACATACACCCACAAAGAAACAATAAGACAAACTCAGGTGATTTTCCTTAGACTGTGTCCACTAGTGTTTTACACAGGGTCTTTCCCTGGCCTAATGCTTACCAAGAAGTTTGAGTTGGTTGCCCATCAAATTCCAGGAACATGCCTCACTGAACTTCCTAGCAAGCCACTGTGGGTCACTCTCTGCTTTTTTTTTTTTTTTTTTTTTTTTTGAAGGTCATGGGGATCAAACTCAAGTCATCAGGGTTGAGCAATCACTTTAGTGACTGAGGCTTCGTCCCAGCCCTTACTTCACAGTTTTAAGGGACAAAAAGCCCAAGATCAGCAGCTTCTTTATCGGATTTGAGTGATGGCCTTGTGGCAGATACTATCACAGTAGCTGCACACACAGAAGAGACTTCATAGCAGGACAGTAAACGGAGAGACTAGTGTCCAGGATCACACATGTGCACTGACCTGGAGGCATAGGTTATTGTGTAATTCAAGTGCAGATTTCAGTATTCTCTATACCTGGCTGCAATCCTTGTTCTGAGAATCTCCTGTCTCAATGTTGTGTAAGCACTGCTCCTTGACTGTCCCCTGATGAGACAATAAAACAGCTTATAGGCAATTACTGAGCAGGAGAGAAACTAAGTTCTGCCAGCCAGGGGAAAAGCTAGAGAAGA